TCGGCTCACCGCAACCTCCATCTCCTGGGTTCAGGCAATTCTCCTGCCTCAACCTCTTCAGTAGCTGGGATTACAGGCATGTGCCACCATGCCTAGCTAATGTTTTGTATTTTTAGTAGAGACGGGGTTTCACCATGCTGACCAGGATGGTCTCGATCTCCTGACCTCGTGATCCACCTGCCTCGGCCTCCCAAAGTGCTGGGATTACAGGCTTGAGCCACCGCACCCAGCCAATATAATGCTTTTTTTTACTGTTACTGGGAGTTGGGTCAGACTTCACAGGTTGAGGGCACAATCCTCCACAAGACTCTTCTCACTTCAGATACCAGCCTGAAGTTTGGGGGTCCCCACTGTCACTCTCATTTCTGACCAGGTAGCTACAGTTTTGGGAATCTCCCACGTACTCCCTTAAGTTTGATGATTGGATGAAATGACTCTCAGAACTCCAGAAGGTGCTAAACTTACGATTAGAGTTTCATTATAGCAACAGGATATAAATGAGAAGAGAGATATAAGGGAGTGTTTGGGATGGTTCCAAACAGGATGCTTCTGTTGTCCTCAGGTAGCAATATGCCGAATATTGCCATCCAGGGAAGCTCCCTGAGGCTTTGGTATGTAGAGTTTTTATTGAGACTTTATTATTTAGGCCTGATTGATGGAATCATTGACATGTGGTTGAATGTAGCCTCTATCCCCCTTCACTCCTCAGAGGTCTCCTAATGTGGCTCAAAGACCCAAACCTTTAATCACATGGTTGGTCTTTTTGGGGTGACCAGCAGCCATCCTAGGTACCTCGTTAGCATAAACTATCAATTCTGGCACAAGGAGCCCACAGTGAATAGCAAAGTTACTTCTGTCATTTAGGAAATTCAAGGGTTTATAGGTTACCTCCCAGGAACTGGGATCAAACGCCAACCAAATTCTTTTTTTTTTTAACCTTTTTAATTTTTGTGGATATATAGTAGGTATATATATTTTTAAGGTACATGAGATACTTTGATACAGGCATGCAATGCATCATAATCACATCATGGCAAATAGGGTATTCATCTTCTCAAACATTTATCCTTTGTGTTACAAATAACCCAGTTATACTATTTTAGTTATTTTTAAACACACAATTAAATTATTGACTGTATAGTCAATAACATAGGATTGACTATAGTCATCCTGTTGTGCAATCAAATACTAGGTATTTTTCATTCTGTCCCATGAATCATCCCCATCCCCCACTCCACCCCCACTACCCTTCTCAGCCTCAGGTAACCATCCTTCTACTCTCTGGCTCCTAGAGTTCAGTCATTTTAATTTTTAGCTCCCCCAAATAAGTGAGAACATGTGAAGTTTGTCTTTCTGTGATTGGTTTATATCACTTAACATAAAATCCTCTAGTTCCATTCATGTTGCAAATAACAGAATCTTGTTTTTATGGCTGACTAGTACTCCATTGTGTATATATACCACATTTTCTTTATCCATTCATCTGTTGATGGACACTTAGGTTGCTTCCAAATCTTGGCTATTGTGAACACTGCTGCAACAAATGTGGGAGTGCAGATAACACTGATTTCCTTTCTTTCTTTTGTTCTTTTTTGTTTGTTTTGAGATGGAGTTTCTTTTTGTCACCCAGGGACTGGAGTGCAGTGGCATAATCTCGGCTCGCTGCAACCTCCGCCTCCTGAGTTCAAGTGATTCTCTTGCCTCAGCCTCCTGAGTAGCTGGGATTACAGGTGCTTGCCACCGTGTCTGGCAAATTTTTGTATTTTTAGTAGAGATGGGGTTTCACCATGTTGCCCAGGCTGGTCTTGAACTCCTGACCTCAAGTGATCTGCCCACTTTGGCCTCCCAAAATGCCGAGATTACAGGCATGAGCCACAGTGCCTGACCACTGTTTTTCTTTCTTTTGGGCATATACCCAGCAGTGGGATTGCTGGATCATATGGTAGTTCTATTTTTATTTGAGGAACCTCCAAACTGGTCTTCATAGTGATTGTACTGCTTTACATTCCCACCAACAGTGTACAAGGGTTCCCTTTTCTCTATATCCTTTCCAGCATTTGTTATCGCCTGTCTTTTGGATAAAAGCCATTTTAACTGGGGTGAGGTGATATCTTATTGTGGCTTCGATTTGCATTTCTGTAATCAATGATATGAGCACCTTTTATTACACCTGTTTGCCATTTATATGTTTTCTTTTTTTTTTTGAGACGGAGTTTCACTCATGTTACCCAGGCTGGAGTGCAATGGCGCGATCTCGGCTCACCGCAACCTCCGCCTCCTGGGTTCAGGCAATTCTCCTGCCTCAGCCTCCTGAGTAGCTGGGATTACAGGCACGCACCACCATGCCCAGCTAATTTTTTTTTGTATTTTTAGTAGAGACGGAGTTTCACCATGTTGACCAGGATGGTCTTGATCTCTTGACCTTGTGATCCACCCACTTCGGCCTCCCAAAGTGCCGGGATTACAGGCTGGAGCCACCGCGCCTGGCCATATGTTTTCTTTTGAGAAATGTCTGTTCAGATCTTTTGCCCATTTAAAAATCAGATTAGTAGATTATTTTTTATAGAGTTGTTTGAGCTCCTTATATATTCTGGTTATTAATCCCTTGTCAGATGGATAATTTGCACTTACTTTCTCTCATTCTGTGAGTTGTCTCTTCTCTTGGTTGATTGTTTCCTTTGCTGTGTAGAAGCTCCCTCCACCCCTGTCTCCCGAGACAGAGTCTCATTCTGTCGCCCAGGCTGGAATGCAGTGATGTGATCTTGGCTTAACTTGATGTGATCCCATTTGTCCATTTTTGTTTCACCAACCCCAAATTTTTTTTTTTTTTTGAGACAAGTTCTCACTCTGTTGCCCAGTCTGGAGTGCAGTGGTGCAATCTTGGCTCACTACAGCCTTGACTACCTGGGCTCAAATGATCCTCCCACATCAGCCTGCCCAGTAGGCTGTGAGGGGGACCACAGGCATGTGCCACCATGTTCAGCTAATTTTTTTGGAGTTTTTGTAGAGATGAAGTTTTGCCATGTTGCCCAGGCTGATCTTGAACTTCTGGGGTCAAGTGATCCACCCACCAGGCCTCACAAAGTGCTGAGATTACAGATGTGAGCCACCATGCCCAGCCACCAGCCAAATTCTTTATTCATAACTGTCAGTTGAGATGATTTGTATGGATGTGATCAAAATTACATTGTGTGAAATTATTACATTAACTCAGTTGCGTCAACAAATACTGAAGCCTATTGTGTCTGTGCCAAGTAGTCTTCTAGATGCTAAGGTAAATTTTCTACTTTTAAATGTCAAATTCACTTTGATAGTATTTCAGTCATTTATCCAGCATATATTGAGTGCCTATTCTGTGCTCCAGGTACTGGTTTTAGACATAACAGTGAACAACTCAGACAAAACTCCCTATCTTCATGGTGTTTACTTTTAGTGGTAACTTTATATTCACATTCTCAAGTCAAAAAAGTCTATAGTATATTGTTTGGGTACTTTTATTATTGTGTTTGAGCATTGGGATTTTATTAGGGCATGAAAGAGGTAACTTTGTCTCCACACAGGAATAGTTTGTATAGAATAAGAATTACTATTTATGTGAAAATCTGAAATATGTTAAAATATGGAAATAATCTTTGATATTTTTCCATTTCTTTCATTTACTTTAAACATTTTATATATATGCTTTAATTTGCATTTCATACGTGTGCGTGTGTGTATATACATATACACACACGCACACGTATATGTATTTCCTCTTTGTTATATATGAAATGAAAAGGCAATATAGCATAGTAATTTTAGAGTGAGGACTCAGGAGCCTGACTACCTAGGTTGAGTTCCCATTTTTTTTCTTTGCTTTCTGTGTAGCTTTGGAAAATATTCTTCCTTTGAGTAACACAACACTTCAGGATGTGTGTTATATACAGCATCTTGTTGTTTTGCAGTGGAAACCCTTTTGAAGTATCTAAATTATCATGCTGCCAGAAAGCGAAATCCTTTTAACACAGTATTCTTCACTTGCCGAGGGATATAGGGCTTCCAGTTTTCTCTTGGCTGATATGCTGCTGGATGAGTATTATAGGAAATTATTTACTTCTGTACTTTTTTAAATGATGGATTTTTAAAGAAACAGTTTGTATAGTTTTTAGAATTAATTTTAAAGATGAACTCTAATGTTTGACATCTTAAAACCTCTTCAGTTATAGCAATTGTCTTATATTTGATGATGCCTATTGTGAATGTAAGTGAAGTACTTGGACCCTTGTGCCTTATGCTACTCATGGGAACTGTCCACTGTCAAATTGTGTCTACTCAGTTAACGAGACCATCAGGAAACAATGGAAATCGGAGAAGAAGGTAAGATGAGAAAGTACACTGTAGTTGTGTATTGTCTGAGAGAGGTATTGTAGAGATTTATAAAACCTTTGATTCATTTTAAATCTCCATCTTTTGTGTATTTTTAAATTATTTTTTGGCTTGGAAAATGAATGCATTACTTTGCAGTTTTCTCCTTGATGCTGAGAAACGTTATTACAAACTTTTAGTTTCAGTTTGGGATTTTGTCATTCAGTATGGTTGTTTAAAAGGAAAATTTCTATACTTTATTATTCTTCATTAAAATTTATCTTATAGATTGGCTTTGAAAAAACATTTTCTTTGAGATTCAGTCTTAATCAAAATTTGGTGAAAATTCACTGTAAACAAAGATCTTGGTACATTTGGTTAGTGCCACTAAAATTTTACCTTTTTTCAAAAGTGTGTAATAAGAATTGATTTCTAAGTGGTCTAAACTCTTTTTTTTGAGTTGGAGTCTCATTCTGTCACCCAGGGACTGGAGTGCAGTGGCATGATCTTGGCTTACTGCAACCTCCGCCTCCTGAGTTCAAGTGATTCTCCTGCCTCAGCCTCCCAAGTAGCTGGGATTACAGGCACCCGCCACCATGCCCAGCTGATTTTTTTGTATTTTTAGTAGAGACGGGGTTTCACTATGTTGGACAGGTTGGTCTCAAACTCCTGACCTCAAGTGACCTGCCCACCTTCGCCTCCCAAAGTGCTGGGATTACAGGCGTGAACCACTGTACCTGGCCTTTTTTTTTTTTTTAATGAGATGGAGGTTTGCCCAGGCTGAAGTGCAATGGCACAATCTTGGCTCACTGCAACCTCTACCACCTCCTGTGTTCAAGTGATTCTCCTGCCTCAGCCTCCCAAGTAGCTGGGCTTACAGGTGTATGTCACCATGCCTGGCTAATTTTTTTTTTGTATTTAGTAGAGACAGGGTTTCATCATGTTGGTCAGGCTGACGTCAGGTGATCCACCTGCCTCGGCCTCCCAAAGTGTTGGGATTACAGGTGTGAGCCACTGCACCTGGCTGTCTAAACTTTTAATAAGGATTGATTTGGTTTTTCTTTACATATTGAATTCATGTTATGTTTTAATTGATTATATGATTTATATGAGTTTTGGAACTGTTGAAGATTTCTTAGGTATATGCATTATCTTCCAGAAGTTATGTTATCTTCCCTCAGAGTATCTCTAGATTTTTGCCGCATAAGCAATTACTAAATACAAATTTTCGATTAGGTGAAATGAATTTCAACATATTCTTATTTTTGAATGTTATTTTTAAAAAGTTTTTTAAAAGAAGAGTTCTTATAAATTCAATTAAATTGATGTTTTCTAAGGAAGTAAAATGCTATGGTATGTCTTACTGGTGTTTATAGGATATACCTTTTAATTATATAGGATATCAATAATAAGTGATCAGTTGCTATTTTTCTAAGGTACCCTTGTAAAATATGCCATAAGAGGTAGATTCCTAATGTCCATATTTAAAGAAATTGCTCCTTCTGCTAGTGGTGTTGAATGTGCCTGAACAGACTCTTGGTCATAAAAGTGGAAAGTTTTTTTAGTAGATTCTGAATAGCAGTTCTATTTAGTTAATGACTGAAAAAAATGGGAGCATAGGATTTTGGTTTGGAATCTGTTTTGCCCTCAAATCAGAAAGTACTTGTATAATTTATCCTCAGTATATGAAGTTAAACGATACTTGATTTTAGGTAGTAATTTATCAGTATAATTTTCTGTAGGGATATTTTGGGCAGAAATAGAAAGGGTCTTGAATAATCTGAAGTTATTGAAATTTTTTTCTTTGTAGAAAATTACGAAAAACTGTAAATGGGGATGGGAGCCGAGAAAATGGAAACAACTCCTCTGATAAAGTCAGAGGAATAGAAACTTTGGAATCTGTACCTGTTATTGGTGGTTTTTGGGAGACTATCTTTGGCAACAGGTGGGAGTCTTTTTTACTTGATTTTGTATTCACATAGTGTTTACAAAGTATATAGTATCATCAGACCATAGCAGTAAGTAGCGTAGACTTGTTATGGTGTGATTTTTAAGGGTTATCAGAGGGTTTGCTTGCTGAAAATGCGGTCTTCACTGTTATGTTACCTATGAATGCAGTAATCTATCATTAAAGTATAATTCCGGTTTTTTTTTTTTTTTTTTTTTTTTGAGAGTGAAGTGGCATGATCTTGGCTCACTGCAACCTCTGCCTTTCAGGTTCAAGCGATTCTCCTGCCTCAGTCTCTTGAGTAGCTGGGATTACAGGCGCTTGCCACCACACCTGGCTAATTTTTGTATTTTTACTAGAGACGGTGTTTCACCATGTTGCCCAGGCTGACCTCAAATTCCTGACCTCAAGCCTCAGGTGTGAGCCACCACACCTGGCCTGATTTCCTTTCTTTTGGTTAATATACCCAGCAGCGGGAATGCTGGATCATATGGTAGTTCTATTTTTGTTTATTTGAGGAACCTCCAAGCTGGTCTTCATAGTGGTTGTACTACTTTACATTCTCACCAGCAGTGTACAAGGGTTCCCTTTTCTCCATATCGTTTCCAGCATTTATTATCACCTGTCTTTTGGATAAAAGCCATTTTAACTGGGGTGAGAGATCTCATTGTGGTTTTAATTTGCATTTCCGTGATCAATGATGTGAACACCTTTTCATACACCTGTTTGCCATTTGTATGTCTTCTTCTGAGAAATGTCTATTCAGATCTTTTGCCCATTTAAAAATCAGATTATTAGATTATTTTGTATAGAGTTGTTTGAGCTCCTTATATATTCTGGTTATTAATCCTTTGTCAGATGGATAATTTGCACTTACTTTCTCTCATTCTGTGAGTTGCTTTTCACTTGGTTGATTGTTTCCTTTGCTACATAGAAGCTTTCTAACTTGATGTGATATCATTTGTCCATTTTGCTTTGGTTGCCTGTGCTCATGGAGTGTTATTTAAGAAATCTTTGCCCAGACCAGTGTTTGGAGGGTTTCCCTAATGTTTCCTTTTAGTAGTTTCATAGTTTGGGGTCCTAGATTTAGATCTTTAATTCACTTTTATTCGATATTGTATATGGTGAGAGATAAGGATCTAGTTTCATTCTTCTACATGTGGCTGTTCAGTTTTTCCAGCGCTGTTTATTGGAGAAACTATCCTTTCTCCAATGTATGTTCTTGGCATCTTTGTCAAAACTGAGTTCACTGTTGGTCGGGTGTGGTGGCTCATGCCTATAATCCCAGCACTTTGGGAGGCTGAGATCTTTTGAGGTCAGGAGTTCCAGACCAGCCTGGCCAACATGGTGAAACCTTGTCTGTACTAAAAATACAAGAATTAGCTGAGTGTAGCGGTGGGTACCTGTAATCCCAGCTACTCGGAAGGTGGAAGCAGGAGAATCGCTTGAACCTGGGAGGCAGAGGTTGCAGAGAGGGAGAGGTTGTAGTGAGCCAAGATCTCACCACTGTACTCCAGCCTGAGTGACACAGTGTGACCCTGTCTCCAAAAAAAAAAAAAAGGGTTCGCTGTAGATGTATGGATTTATTTCTGGGTTCTCAATTCTGTTCCATTAGCCTATGTGTTTTTATGCCAATACCGTGCTTCTTTGGTTACTATCGTGCTGTAGTATAATTTGAAGTCAAGTAATGTGATTCCTTCAGTTTGTTATTTTTACTCAGAATAGCTTTGGCTATTTTGGGTCTTTTTTTATTCCGTATCAATTTTAAGATTGTTTTTTCTATTTCTGTGAAGAATGTCATCGGTGTTTTTATAGGGATTGCATTGCATCTGAAGATTGCTTTGGTTAGTATGGATAATTTTAACAATATTGATTTTTCCATTTCATAAATTATCTTTCCATATTTTTTGCATTCTCTTCAATTTCTTACATCAATGTTTTATAGTTTTTATTATAGAGATCTTTCACTTCTTTGGTTAATTGCTAGGTGTTTAATGTTATTGGTAGCTATTAGAAATGGTATCATTTTCTTGATTTCTTTTTTAGATTGTTTGCTGTTGGCATATAGAAATGCTACTGATTTTTTATGTTGATTTTGTATCCTGCAACATTAATGAATTTGTTTATCAGTTCTAATACTTGTTTGGCAAAATCTTTAGGTTTTTCCAGATATAGAATTTTATCTGTAAACAAAGGTAATTTGAATTCTTCTTTTCCAATTTGTATGCTTTTTATTTCTGTCTCTTGTCTAATTGCTCTAGCTAGGATTTCTAGTACTATATTAAATAATAGTGATGAAAGTGGGCATCCTTGTCATTTTCCAGATCTTAGAGGAAGGGCTTTTATTTTTTTCTCATTCAGTATGATACCAGCTGTGGGTCTGTCATATATGACTTTTATTCTATAGAGGTATGTTTCTTCTACCCTGATTTTTGAGAATTATTATCATGAAGAGATACTGAATTTTACCAAGTACTTTTCAGCATCAATTGAAATGATTATATGATTTTTGTCCTTCATTCTGTTGGTATGTTGTGTCACATGATTGATTTGTATGTATGTTGAACTATCCTTGCATCCCTGGTATAGCCCTACTTGGTCATGATGAAGGATCCTTTTATTTATTTATTTTATATTATTATTATTTGAGACAGCGCCTCATTTTGTTGCCCAGGCTTGAGTGCAGTGGCATGATCTTGGCTCATTCCAACCTCTGCCTTCCAGTTCAAACAATTCTTGTATGTGAAGCCCCCAGCTACCTTGGACCACAGGCATGTGCCACCACAACACTCCCTAATTTTTTGTAGAGGTGCACAGAAGCCAGGAATTGAGATTTGGGAACCTCTGCTTAGATTTCAGAGGATGTATGGAAATACTTGCACGTCCAGGCAGAAGTTTGCTGCCAGGGCAGGGCATTCATGGAGAACCTTTGCCAGGGCAGTGTGGAAGGGAAATGTGGTATTAATACCCCCACACAGATTCCCCACTGGGGGACACTGCCTAGTGGAACTGTGAGAAGAGTGGCCACTGTCCTCAAGACTCCAGAATGGTAGAGCCACCAATAGCTTGCCCTGTGTGCCTAGAAAAGCTGCATACACTCAACGCCAGCCCGTGAAAGCAGTCAGGAGGGATGCTGTACTCTCCGGGTGATACTTGATATCATGTTAATTTTTTGGAATGTTTTAAGACTTGTTTTGTGGTTATAATATGGTATATCCCTGAGAATGATTCTTGTGCTGAGGAGAAGAATGTGTATTCTATAGCCGATAGATGAAATGTTCAGTAAGTGTCTGTCAGGTCTATTTGGTTTGTAGTGTTGATTAAGTCCAATGTTTCTTTGTTGATTTTTCTATTTGGATGATCTGTCTAATGCTGAAAATGAGGTTGAAGTTTCCAGCTATTATTGTATTGGAGTCTATCTCTCTCTTTATCTCTAATAATATTTGCCTTATGTTTCTGGGTGCTCCAGTGTTGTGTGCATATATATTTACAATTGTTATATCCTCTTGCTGAATTGACCCCCTTATCATTATATAATGACCTTCATTAACTCTTTTTATAGTTGAAATCTATTTTGTCTGATACAAGTATAGCTACTTGATATAGTTTGGCTGTGTTCCCACCCAAATCTCAACTTGAATTGTATCTCCCAAAATTCTCATGTTGCAGGAGGGAGCCAGGGGGAAGTAATTGAATCACGAGGGCTGGTCTCTCCTGTGCTAGTCTCGGGATAGTGAATAAGTCTCACAAGATCTGATGGGTTTATCAGGAGTTTCTGCTTTTGCTTCTTCCTTATTTTGTCTTGCCACCATCATGTAAGAAGTGCCTTTTGCCTCCTGCCGTGATTCTGAAGCCTCCCCAGCCATGTGGAGCTGTAAGTCCGATTAAATCTCTTTTTCTTCTCAGTCTCAGGTATGTCTTTATCAGCAGCATGAAAACCAACTAATACAGTAAATCGGTACTGGTAGAGTGGGGCATTATTGAAAAGATACCTGAAAATGTGGAAGCAACTTTGGAACTGGGTAACAGGCAGAAGTTGGAAGAATTTGGAGGGCTCAGAAGAAGACAGGAAAATGTGGGAAAGTTTGGAACCTCCTAGAGAGTTGTTGAATGGCTTTGACAAAAATGCTGATACTGTTATGAATATGAACAATAAGGTCTAGGCTGAGGTGGTAACAGATGGAGATGAGGAACTTGTTGGGAACTGAAGCAAAGGTAACTCTTGTTATGTTTTCGCAAAGAGACTGGTGGCATTTTGCCCTGCCTTAGAGATTTGTGAAACTTTGAACTTAAGAGAGATGATTTAGGGTATCTGGTGGTAAAAAAATTTCTAAGCAGCAAAGCATTCAAGAGGTGACTTGGGTGCTGTTAAAGGCATTCAATTTTATAAGGAAAGCAGAGCATAAAAGTTTGGAAAATTTGCAGCCTGACAATGCAATAGAAAAGAAAAACTCATTTTTTAGGGAGAAAGTCAAGCTGGCTGCAGAAATTTGCATAAGTAGCAAGGAGCCTAATGTTAATCCCCAAGACAATGGGGAAAATGTTTCTAGGCCATGTCAGACACCTTCACAAAAGCTCCTCCCATCACAGGCCTGGAGGCCCAGGAGGAAAAAGGGGTTTTGTGGGTCAGACCCAAGATCCTTATGCTATGTGAAGCCTAGGGACTTGGTGCCCTGTGTCCCAGCTGCTCCAGTCATGGCTGAAAGGGGCCAGTGTACAGCTCAGGTCGTGACTTCCGAAGATGGAAGCCCCAAACCTTGGCAGCTTCCACATGGTGTTGAGACTGCAGGTACACAGAAGTCAAGAACTGAGGCTTGGGAACCCCTGCCTAGATTTCAGAAGACGTATGGAAACACTTGGATGCCCAGGCAATAGTTTGCTACAGGGATGGGGCCCTCATGGAGAACCACTGCTAGGGCAGTACGGAAGAGAAATGTGGGGTTGGAACCCTCACACAGAGTCCCTACTGGGGCACTGCCTACAGGAGCTGTGAGAAGAGGGTCACCGTCTTCCAGACTCCATAATGATAGATCCACTGACAGCTTGCACTGTGTGCCTGGAAAAGCTGCAGACACTCAACACCAGCCTATGAAAGCAGTCAGGAGGGAGGCTGTACTCTGCAAAGCCACAAGGGCAGAGCTGCCCAAGATCATGTATTCCCACCTTTTACATCAGCGTGACCTGGATGTGAGATCTGGAGTCAAAGGAGATAATTTTGGAGCTTCAAAATTTGACTGCCCCATGGGATTTCAGACTTGCAAGGGCCCTATAACCCCTTTGTTTTGGCCAATTTCTCCCATTTTGAACGTCTGTATTTTACCCAATACCTGTACCCCATTGTATCTAGGAAGTAACTAGCTTGCTTTTGATTTTACAGGCCCATAGGCGGATGGGACTTGCCTTGTCTCAGATGAGATTTTGGACTGTGAACTTTTGGGTTAATGTTGAAATGAGTTAAGACTTTGCGGGAGTATTGGGAAGGCATGTTTGGTTTTGAAATGTGAGGACATGAGATTTGGAGGGGCAAGGGACAGAATGATATGGTTTGGCTGTGTCCCCACCCAAATCTCAACTTGATTGTGTCTCCCAGAATTCCCAAGGGTTGTGGGAGGAGCTCGGGGGGGGGTAATTTGAGTCATGAGGGCTGGTCTTTCCCATGCTATTCTTGTGATAGTAAGTCTTACGAGATCTGATGGGTTTATCAGGGGTTTCCGCTTTTGCTTCTTCCTCATTTTCTGTTGCCGCCACCATGTAAGAAGTGCCTTTCACCTCCTGCCATGATTCTGAGGCCTCCCCAGCCATGTGGAACTGTAAGTCCAATTAAATCTCTTTTTTTCCCCCCATTCTTGGGTATGTCTTCAGCAGCAGCATGAAAATGAACTAATACACTACTCCTGCTAATTTTTAGTTTCTATTAGTATGGAATATCTTTTTCCATTCTCTCATTTTCAGCCTGTGTGTATCTTTATAGGTAAAGTTTGTTTCTTGTAGGCAATAGATCATGGATTTTTTTTTTAATTCATTAAGCCATTCTGTGTCTTTTGATTAGAAAGTTTAGTTCATTTACATTCCATGCCATTATTGATAAGTAAGGACTTACGCCTCCCACTTTGTTAGTTGTTTTCTGGTTCATTTGTGATCTTCTCTTCCTTCTTTCCTTCCTGTCTTCCTCTTAGTGAAGGTGATTTTCTCTAGTGGTATTTTTAAATTAATTTCTTTTTATTTCTTGTGTATCTTATTATTTTTTAATTTGGGATTACATTGAGGCTTGCAAATAATATTTTATAATCTATTATTTTAAGCCGATAACACTGATTGCATAAACAAGCAAACTCATAAACCAGCAAAGAGAGAAGTGATAAAAACTGTACACTTTCACTCTGTCCCCCTGCTTTTAAACTTTTTGTTGTTTGTATTTATCTTATTGTACTATGTCTTGAAATGTTGTATTTTTTTAATTGGTTCATGTTTTAGTCTTTCTATTGAAGATATGAGTAGTTTACATACCACAATTACAAAGTTATAATATTCTGTCTTTTTTTGTGTATTTACTATTACCAATGAGTTTTGTACCTTCAGATGATTGCTTATTGCTCATTAATGTCCTTTCAGTTTACAGAACTTTCTTTTGCATTTCTGTAGGCAGGTCTTTTGTTGATGAAATCCTTCAGCTTTTGTTTTTTCTGGGGATGTTTTTATTTTTCCTTCTTGTTTGAAGTTTATTTTTGCTGAATATACTATTCTATGATAAAAAAGTTTTTCCTTTAGCAGTTTAAATATGTCAATCTGGCTGGACTTAGTGGCTCATGCCTGTAATCCCAGCACTTTGGGAAGCCAAGTTAGGAGCACTGCTTGAGCCCAGGAGTTCAAGACCAAACTGGGCTACATTAGGGAGATGCAGTCTCTACAAAAATAAAAATAAAAAAACTAGCTGGGTGTGGTGGCATGTGCCTGTGGTTCCAGTTATGCTGGAGGTTGAGACAAGAGGATCACTTGAGCCTAGGAGGTGGAGGCAGTAATGAGCTGTGATTGTGATAGTGAACTTCAGCCTGGGCAACTGAGATCCCTTTCTCAAAAAAAAAAAAGTAACAATAAATAAGTAAATAAACATGTCATACCACTCTCCTAGCCTGTGAAGTCTGCTGCTAGACATATTGAAGCATCTTTGTATGCCATTTGTTTCTTTTTCTCTTGCTGCTTTTAGTATCCTTTCTTTAGCCTTTATCTTTGAGGGTTTGATTGTGCCTTGAGGTATTTTTCTTTTGGTTAAATCTGTTTGGTATTGTATGACTTTCTTGTATTTGAATATTGGTATCTTACTCTAGGTTTGGGAAGTTTTTTGTTATTATCCTTTTGAATAAACTTTATACTCCTATCTCTCTCTCTACCTCCTCTTTAAGGTCAATAACTCTTAGATTTGCTGTTTTGAGGCTATTTTCCAGATCTTTTAGGTGAGTTTCATTTTTTTTTGTTGTTCTTTTTTCTTTTGTCTCCTCTGTGTATTTTTAATTCTTTCTTCTGCTTGATCAGTTCTGCTGGTAAGAGACTCTGATGCATTCTTCAGTATGTCAGTCACATTTTCAGCTCCAGAATTTTATTTTTTTTAATTTTTATTTATTTATTTATTTTTTTAGTTATTTTACTTTTTGTTAAATTTATCTGATGGGATTCTGAATTTCTTCTCTATGTTGTCTT